TAATTAATTCCTACATCTTCACATTGTGTCCATTGTGATCTGTTACGGTAATTACTAATTCTACGGGTTCTCATTGCGTCCTGAGTGATCTCTTGTGAGGTAGTACCTAATTCCTACAGGTACATTGATCCCTGAGTGATCTGTGAGTAGTATTGGTCCTACAAGGTTCTGTGTCCCTGATTATCTGTGCGGTGGTATATCATTCCTATATATTCCACATTGTCCATAGTGATCATGCGAGTAGTACTAATTCCTACGGAGTTCTCATTGTGTCCCTGATGATCTATGAGTAGTACTATCCTAGAGTACATTGTATGTCCCTGATGATCTGTAAGGTAGTATTCATTCTAGAGTTCACACTGTGTCCCACAATGATCTGTGCAGTGTATATTCCTATATATTTCACATTGTGTCCAAGTGATCTGTATGGTAGTACTAATTCTATCACATTGTGTCCGCACAGTAGTCTATGAGTAGTACTAATTCCTGAGTTTCATTGTCTACAGTTATCTGTATGAGTAGTACTATTTTCTAGGGTTCACATTATTGATCACAGTGATCTGTATGGGTGGTACTTATTCTGAGTTCACACTGTGATCTGTGGTGTTCGTTCTGAATGCATTATCACCGTGATCTGTGCAATTAGTGCTAATTCCTTCAATTACCGTGTGTCCACAGTGATCTGTGTGAGGTAGTACTATTTCCCTGGGGTTCACATTGTGTCCACAGTGTCTATTTGAGGTAGTACTAATTCCTACGTGTGCACATTGTCCCACAGTGATCTGTATCGGGTAGTATTCGTCCTACAGGTGCACAGTGTGTCACATTGATCTCGACAGTAGTACTAGGATTTTTAAACGTTCACTGTCTCCTGATGATCTCTATCGGTAGTACTAATTCTACGTGCACACTGTCTCCTACAGTGATCTGTATCAGGTAGTATTAATTCCTACGTGTTCATTGTGTCCTGATAATCTGTGTGAGGTAGTACTAATTCATATTGAACACCTCACCGAGTCATCTGTATGGTGAACTAATTCTAACAGGTTCACACTGTGTCCACAGTGATCTTTCTCAGGTAGTACTAATTCCTACAGGTTCATGTGTGTCCCAGAATGATCTGTGCGAGGTGAGTACCTAATTCCTGAGTTCACACTGTGTGTCCACAGTGATGTTTGCGAGGTAGTACTAATTCCTGCGGGTTCTCATTGTGTCACGGTGATCTGTGCAGTGGTACTGAATTCCTGCATATTCACGTTATTGTCCTGTTGATCTGTATCAGAGGTAGTACTAATTCTACATCTTCACATTGTCCATAGTGATCTGTGCGGTGTGCTCTAATTCTACGGGTTCTCATTGTGTCCACAGTGATCTGTATGAGGTAGTACTAATTCCTCATGTACATTATGCAGTGGAATCGTATCGGGTGAGTATTAATTCCTGGGTTCATTGTGTGCTGAGTGATCTGTATGAGAAGTGCTAATTCCTATCAGGTTCACACTGACCAAAGTGATCTTTAGAGATGGTACTAATTCCTGCATGTGCACATTGTGTCCACGGTGATCTGTGGGGTGGTACTAATTCCTACGGTACACATCGTGTCCACAATGATCTGTATGAGGTGGTATTAGTTCCCTACAGGTTCGCACTGTGTCCCTGATCTGTGGGAGGGTACTACTATTCCTACATGTTCACATTGTCCAAGTGGTGATCTGTATGAGGTAGTGAATTCCTACGGGTTAACGTGATCACAGTGATCTGTGGTGGTACTGAATTCCTACAGGTGCATTCACGGTGGATCTTGTGGGGTAGTGTTCTGCGGGTTCGCCGATGCGATTGGTCTTGTTGGGGGTGGTGCTAGTTCACCGTGTTTTAGGTGTTGAAATTGATCTTGTGTGGGGTGGTGCTAGTTCCTGCAGGGTGCATTGTTGATCACATTGGAGTCTTGACGTGCTAGTTCTGCAGGTTTTAGGTGATCACGGTGGATCTTGTGTGAGGTGGTGCTGATACCGGGTTCATTGATGATCCTGGTGGAATCTTGTGTGGTGGTGCTAGTTTCCGTGTTCGTGATGTTCGAAATTGATCTTGGGAGTGCCTGCTCCTGCGGAGTTCATGATCCCTGAGTGATCTGTGTGGTGGTACTAGTTCATACGGTGCATTGTTGTCCTGACCAGTCTGTTGGGGTGGTCGCCTAGTTCATTCAAGAGGTGCACGGTTATTGATCACGAAGGTCTGTGATGGTGGTGCCCTGATTCCTGGGTTGCACAATCGTGATCACAGTGCCAGTCTGTATGAGGTGGTGCTGTTATGGGGTTCACGGTGTGTCACGGTGATCTTGTGGTGGTATTCGTTGCGTGTTCATTGGTGATAAGTGATCTTAATGAGGTGGTGATGAATTCCTACGTGTTCACACTGTGTCACGGTGATCTTTATCAATGAGGAGTGGTGCTGGGTCTTATAGGTTCGTGATCACAGTGTCTGGTGAGCTAATTCCTGCAATGTGCATTGATGATCACAGTGATCTGTATCAGGTAGTATTCGACCACTACTACAGATTGAACAGTGTGTCATTGATCTCGATGAAGTAGTACTAAGGATTTTTAAACACGTTCACACTGTCTCCACATTGATCTGTCAGGTAGTACTAATTCCTACAGGTTCATTTGGTCCAAAGTGATCTGGTAGTATAATTCCTAATGAGTACACATTATTGTCCACAGTGATCTGTGGTAGTAATAATTCCTACAAGTGCACATTGTGTCCACGGTAATCTGTGAGTAGTAATAATTCCTACAGGTACATTGTGTCCACGGTGATCTGTATGAGGTAGTATAATTCCTGGTACACATTGTAATCACATTGTTGATCTGTATGAGGTGGTATAAATTGCTACAAGTACACATTGTCCACAGTGATCATGTAAGTGTGGCAATTCCTACAAAACACATTGTCCCTCAGTGATCTGTGAGGTAGTACTAGTCCCACCACAAGGTTCACACTGTCACAGTGATCTTTAGGAAGTAGTACTAATTCTACATGTACATTATTGTGTCCCTGATGATCTGTATGAGGTAGTACTAATTCCTGGGTACACATCGTGTCCTAATGATCTGTATGAGTGGTATTAATTCCTAGCAGGTTCACACTGTGTCCCACAGTGATCTGTGGAAGTACTACTATTCCTACAAGTTCACAGTTAATGTCAAAGTGATCTGTATGAGGTAGTACTAATTCTACATGTACATTGTCTGATGATCTGTATGAGGTAGTAAGCTGAATAGTGGTATGTGTTGTTTGGTTTTTTTGTTTATTGCCGCCCTCAGCAATATTCACGCTTCATATATGGCGAGGGTCTGTAAATAATCGAGTCTGGACCGGACAATCCAGTGATCAACAGCGTAAGCATCCATCTACGAAGTCAGATACGATGACATGTGTCAACCAAGACTACACGATGCCGTTAGTTGCCATGGGTTACTGAAGACCTATTCTATCCCGGACAATCACGGGTTCACGTGGTGTCATTTGAAATGAGCCATCAAAAGCATCGAAGACATGAAGCTTTGTGGCCTATCATCACACACGTACTGCAATTATCTAAATGTGAACAATACCAAGTATTTTATCAGAAGCTTAACTTAATGTTAGCTAAATGAGATGCAGTCGTGAGAACATGACGTTCTTCAAATATCTAGTGTATGGTATCTTCGTTTATTTATGGTTTTGTTTGGGAATCTCAAGGTGATTTAAAGATGGAATGATTCTAAGATGAATTCTTTGGTTAAAGAGTGTTGTACTCAAACAAGTTATTTTGAGGCGCCGAGTTACTCAAAACTAGAATTATATTGAATGTTAAATAGTTCAGTGGCATAAGAGCCACTCATGTTAAGGAGACATTGAAAAGAAAATAGACGAATGCTTAGTCACTTAAGGATTGGTAAACGTATAGTTATGCTTAAAGTAGGGAGAAGAACAGTCATCGACACGGTGACAAGCCGGGAAAGCCACATTTCAAAAATGACTATTGCCGGGAAGGCCACGTTTCAATTACATGGCTGTAGCCGGACAAGCCACATTTCCAATAGATTAATTAATTAATGGATTACCGTAACCGGTAAAAGAGTGTCCCCATGCTATTTTCAGATAGCAGTAAGTCTTTGTCGAGTGAAGGTGAATTTTTAAAAATCTTATAATATTGTCCTTTAGATGAATTATTCATTTCACTAGTTGGTTGAATAGGTTGTCTTCCAAGTTCTCCATACACCATAAAGTTCAGGGTGTTTTATCTAAGACCGGCAGCTAATTTAAAGAATTTAAGATGAACAGTTCAATGACATAGCAATACCGGTAAAAGACTGTCCCTAGATTAAAATTAATCTAACTGATTAATCTAACAATAACCTAAAGGATGGTACAATAAGGTACAGAGACTTGTCCAGAAGTGTCACCCTAACATTTACGAGATAGTAAAGCTATTTCAGCGTGGGCAGTCTCTCACAGAGGTTGCTGTCCTGAGACTACCTTAACGAAGAAAGAAATACAGAACCATTGACGCTCGTATTGTATCACTGAAGACCAACCTTCTGAACCAACACCTGAGTGACATGGAGTATACGGATCATGTGGGCGACCTCCTTCATGTGCAGTAGGGTGTGTGAAATAGAATGTTCTGTGACCTTACGCCATTTTATCTGTTTTTACACATAGCAACAAACTAAACCATTATCATTATTATCATGTTTTGCAGATAAAGATTTATCATTGTTTTGTGATATTATTATTATTATTATTATTATATCTAATATACCTATTAGTATATTATATTGTGCTAGTTATTGAAACCAAACCTGTTGTTATCTGAATAAAATTATGAGGAAACATGTCTTGTTTTGTTAGATACGGTAACGTGTTTGAATCACTAAGCATGTTTTGACAGCATAGTCGGGAGAGCCACATCCCATGTTCACGCAACCGTAACTATTGCCGGGATAGCCACATCAATTTAGGCTATCTGTTTCGGAAATGTGGCTCTCCCGGCCTGTAACCATCGACACGACGTTTTCTTCATTATGCAACGTAACCATATTAGTTCAGTTACATCACGGAATATATAAGGGTGGGTATGGCGATGACACACACAGAGACAACCAAGAGATTCATCATAGGCTCCTGGCGTGTCAACCACGGATCGATGATAATAAATCGACAAGAAGATGGAGGGCGCGGGCTATGCACAGGTAAATTTCTGGGAAATATAGATTGCTGTTCCTGGAATTCATTGAAAGCGGACGTTCCGAGACGCAAGGTAAGATCTTGCTGCTGTTCCTTCGCTCGTTCGTTCTTTCTATTCTCTTCGTTTGTTGGTTGGTTGGTGTGAATTGTGCGAATTGCTACAGGTTCAAATTGTGTCCACAGTGATCTCTCTCAGGTAGTACTAATTCCTACAGGTTCATATTGTGTCCAGATGGATCTGTGCGAGGTAGTACTAATTGCTACAGGTTCACACTGTGTCCACAGTGATCTGTATGAGGTAGTACTAATTCCTACAAGTACACATTGTGTCCACAATGATCTGTATGAGGTAGTACTAATTCCTACAGGTCACACTGTGTCCACAGTGATCTGTATGAGGTAGTACTAATTCCTACAGGTTCACATTGTGTCCACGGTGATCTGTATGAGGTAGTACTAATTCCTTTATGTTCACACTGTGTCCACAGTGATCTGTATGAGGTAGTACTAATTCTTACAGGTTCACATTGTGTCCACAATGATCTGTGCGAGGTAGTACTAATTCCTACAGGTTCACATTGTGTCCACAATGATCTGTATGAGGTAGTACTAATTCCTTTATGTTCACACTGTGTCCACAGTGATCTCTCTCAGGTAGCACTAATTCCTACAGGTTCATATTGTGTCCAGAATGATCTGTGCGAGGTAGTACTAATTCCTACAGGTTCACACTGCGTCCACAGTGATCTGTGCGAGGTAGTACTAATTCCTACAGGTTCACACTGTGTCCACAGTGAGCTATATGAGGTAGTACTAATTCCTACAGGTTCATATTGTGTCCAGAATGATCTGTGCGAGGTAGTACTAATTCCTACAGGTTCACACTGTGTCCACAGTGAGCTATATGAGGTAGTACTAATTCCTACAGGTTCATATTGTGTCCAAAGTGATCTGTACGAGGTAGTATTAACTCCTACAGGTTCACACTGTGTCCACAGTAATCTGTATGAGGTAGTACTAATTCCTATAGGTACACATTGTGTCCACGGTGATCTGTATGAGGTAGTAATAATTCCTACAAGTGCACATTGTGTCCACGGTGATCTGTATGAGGTAGTACTAATTCCTACAGGTACACATTGTGTCCACGGTGATCTGTATGAGGTGGTATTAATTCCTACAAGTACACATTGTGTCCACGGTGATCTGTTTGAGGTGGTAATCATTCCTACAAAAACACATTGTGTCCACGGTGATCTGTATGAGGTGGTATTAATTCCTACAAGTATAAGCAAGTACGTACAGGTTTTCTACGTTTACATCTCTTAGTGAAAAATGCCCCAAACGTACATTTTTAAAAGAACGACATTTCCAATAAACATCTTACCCACGTGTGTTGACGTATAGTGTAACATATTAGGGATACTGAACCGCAAAAGAAACGCAAGTCAAAATCCAGATTGAGAAAAACTTTACTTTTGACAGATAATGCATGAACACAGGTACATAATAACAATTATTGCATGATGATCGGGACATGTCAGCCAATGCATGGAAACATTGTTGGTTTACTTTGCATTCAAGACAAAATCGAAATTGATCCAACAAGTCAGTAGCGCGTATGTCCACCTCGTGCATTCACTACAGCTGTGCACTGCCTGAACATGGAGTGAATCAGACGGTTGACAAAGGCCCTAGGGATTGCCGCACATGTCCGGATGATGGCTGCCTGGAGTTCTGCTGCAGTTGTCGGACGTGGTTGGACTTCATTCAGTCGTCTCTGCAGCTCGTCCCAAAAATGTTCGATCAGGTTTAAATCGGGACTGACAGCAGGCCATGGCAGTAGTCGGATGTTATGCTGCTGGAAAAATGCCTGCGTGACTCTAACAGTGTGGGGCCTGGCATAATCTTGCTGGTAAATGTGTTGCTTGTGTCGGACGCAAAATGGCACAACCTGGGGTCGGAGGATCTGGTCGATATAACGTTGGGCAGTGACTCCATTTCCCCGACCTGGCTCAATATTCTGGAAGAATACTGGCCCTAATCTCTGATTCAGGCCTTTCGCTGCCCATACCATAACGCTCGGACCTCCCCATGCATCATCTTCCATTACACATTCGACAGCAAAGCGTTCACCTCGTCTTCGCCATATTTAAACTCGGCGGTCAGCATGATAAATGCAAAACCGACTTTCATCAGAGAACAATACCAGTCTCCACTGTTGTTGACGCCAGTTTCGATGCAACGTAGCCCACTGCAGACGATTCTGACGATGTCTCGGTGTGAGGATAGGACGTCGAGCTGGACGACGACAACGGAGGTGGACTGCTCTGAGTCTGCGCCGAACTGTATCTCCGCTTATTGCTCGGTTGTGACGTGCAATAGTCTGTCGGGCAGTCTCGTTGGCAGATAAGAATCGATCCCCGATGTGCGAACGTTGAATGTGTCGATCTTGCCGTGGTGTTGTGATTCTGGGACGTCCAGGACGTTGGCGGTCAGCTGTGGTCTGTGTAGCTGCAAAACGTTCCTGAAGACGGTAAATGGTCGTTATGTGCACATGGAATGCATTTGCAACATCTGCAACACTCTGTCCAGCTTCAAGACGGCCGATGGCTTGTTCCCTCTGTTGAGTCGTTAACCTTGGCATTCTTGGTGGGCGTTTGTCGGGAGAGATTTCAAACTGATTTGAGGGCATTTTTATACCCCTATGTGTCCGTGACATAATGCGCATCATGATTTTCATGAAAAAATTCTGCAACCACATCCCACGGCCAATTCGATTGCTGCGTTTTGGCGATGTGCAATATCCAAGAGAAATCACAAACAGAACCTGAACACTAACAAACTGTTTTTTCACAACAAAGGTAACCAATATGTAGTTACACTATAACATTTAACAATGTTCTGTCGAATATTTATTCATTTTGAAAAACTTGCGGTTTTTATGCGGTTCAGTATTATATATAATCAAATGTGCCTAGCAGGACTTTGATAACGCCTTTTTTACCGAACTGAATCATACTCGGTGATTGACAATGAGAACACAGTGGGTATATATAGCTTGTTTACTTTACAGTGGTCAGGATAACCAAGAGCAACGCGCATCATGATCTTTGTGGAGAAGCAAGTGTGTCCAGATTGTGGTGGGACTTTCAAGGACGTATCAAACCACAAAATCTGCCATAGCCGAGGTTCAGGGAAACATGCACATAAACCTTCTGTGGTCCTAAGGCAAGTGTGTCCTGATTGTGGCCGAGATTTTGTGAACCTCGCAAATCACAACGTATGTCGTGGTCGAACTGACCAACAGGATACAACACCCCCTACTGCACCACCTGTACATAGTCTGACACCACCCCCTACGCCCCCTTCCTCCAACACAGAGGGACCGACACCTGCCCAACAGTAAGTTTTATGTGTAAACAAGCATCGCCTTCATGAGTTATTCTGGTCGCGTGTCGCAATAGCCTTAGGCAAATAACCTGTCGGAGCTGCCTCCCTGATGGATTTCACCCAAAGGGACCTTAAAATTTTACTGAAGATTTAATATCAAGAGCAAATCAGTTCCACTCATGTGCTGCTAGCAAAAGCAAAAGAGCGCTTTTATGACGAGAATGTACTGATCTCCTAGGACAATTAGCATGGGTTAACGACTTGGTTGTGTTGTAATATACGAAAACAGTTCTTGACAACCTTTTACATCTTTTTTCTGACACATTCTACCCAATACTTTAAAGTTGATGTGAATAAAATAAAATGTGGAAAAAAAAATACTTAAAGGTTAGCCAACCAAAAACTTACAAAAATGAAGTCGTATAAACACAACTTTCTAAATCATCTGGTTAGCATGGATGTTCCAGTTGTCTACGGCGCCCCAATTAGTTGTTAAGGGTTGCGTCCCTTTGGCACGCCAGGAACCGGTCATCTTGGCTTTGAATCGTGGGTCGCATCCATCATCTCTATACTTTTGTCAGTGCTATACCCATGCTTGTGGTTTTCCCTTAAGTGGTAATTAAACACGTGAAGCATGCATTACATTTAGCGTTTCTCCAACACTAAGCTTTAATACTGTTCAAGGGTGTGTAATACTCAATTCACTCACTTATTCGAGCTGTTACTTTTAGAACGATTTCAAAAGTTCTGGGGTTTTTTAAGAATTATTGAAGAGTCTTTATAAAATTCAGTAATTCACAATAAGTGATGATTTCCTATATTTAGTTGACACCTCTTGGGGGAGGATGAAATTGAAGGTGATATTTGTGTTACGGAAGTTGGCGAGGTCGCAACAGTTACAACGGTAGTCTCAGTGATGAGGATGCTCTTGCTGTTGCTATTGCTGCAAGTCGGAACCCAGAGGAGGCAGATCTTGGAAGGCCATTGAGGTCAGTGTATTCTCATCCACAGAAACACTGTTTTGTTTGTTGTTTAACGCCGCACTCAGCAATATTCCAGCTATAAATAATCGAGTCTGAACCAGACAATCAAGTGATCCACGGCATCGATCAGTTGGGATACGATGACATGTGTCAACATAGTCAGTGAGTCTGACCACCCGATCCCGTTACTCACCCGTTAGTTGCTGAAGACCTTTTCTAACCCGGGTCTTCACAAGTACGAAAAATTGAACGGCATAGGGACCAGAACAGAGTCAGTGCAAAGATAAAAGCGACTAATAATATGACTGGAGCTGACCTTTATTGAATTGCAACTTTAATAAGAGACACTTGCCTTAAAATAAGAAACAATTGCCTTCAAATAGGAAACACTTGCCCTCAAATAGGAGCGGTCTGCTTTCCAATGAGAGACACTTGCCTTCAAATAGGAGACACTTGCCAACTAATAAGAGACACTTACTATCAAATATGAGACACTTGCCATCATCAAATAGGAGACACTTGCCTTCAAATAGGAGACACTTGTCAACTAATAAGAGACACTTGCCATCAAATAGGACACGCTTGCCATCAAATATGAGACACTTGCCATCATCAAATAGGAGACACTTACCTTCAAAAAGGAGACAATTGCCTTATCAATAAGAAACACCTGCCTTTAAATAAGCCATGTAAGCAGGACTGTGAAGGATGTCTGTATTTGTCCTGTATTTGTCCTCTCTATCGACCTGTCCTTGAATATTATGTTGGGAGTTCCTTCAGGCATAACAACACCACACATGCCGGATCCGACACCCAACCTGGCATGAAGCCTCATTCTGACAATGGCTGGACGTTCATCTCGGCATCGTCAGATTCAACGACGCCAACTAAGATAGTGCAGAGTGAATCGGAGAAACACGAAACCTGACCAACAATGATTGCCCAAGTTTCACCATATGTTGGCAATAACGATTTGTGGCACAACACGTGGCCTTCGAGCATGGAAATGCACTGCATGTAGACGATTTCAGATCGTCTGTCCCGTAACTTGTACTCAAGTTGTGTAGTGTCACGTCAATATGTTTACATGGTGTAGCACATGATTACGGCTACCGAAGCTATCTATATAATCTATAAATAGTTGTCTTCTTTCTTTATAATTTTCAGTATTAGATGTGTAAACTGCAGGTGTCATTGTGCACAAAGTGCACGAGCCACGCGCGACTTCCAATTTCATGCAAAGTCAGGGGCGTAGCTACCATTATAATAAACAGCCCAGGCTTGCACATGATGTTTGCTAAAGATAAGCATGAAAGTTGGGCAAGCCCTCCATACTATCAAAATATAAAGTTTTGCAACCTATCGGGCTTACACGAAAAAATTGGCTTGTTCGCGCCTGAAGGTGCTTTGCTACATGTTTATATAGGTCATTTTTATAACTTTTCAAATAACTTATATTCAATGCAATTTTATGATATACACAGTTACCTTTTTCCGTTAGAAAAGTGGGCTCCTTTCTTGATAACAAGATATAAACATTTCGTTGCTACAGAAATGAACCGGATATCAATGCGGTACCTACTGGTTCACAACGCCTTGTACGGGAGCATCTAAGTCGATGTATGGAGTTTTTTGGAGCTAGCCGGATCTCCGTCAACAGGAACAACATCTGGTCCAGCAGCATGGCCTTCTTCAAGGATGTTTGTGTATCAAAGACGGCTAAACAGTTAATGGTATGAACAGATCGATATTTTACATGTCCAGATGGTGATTGTTGCAGTGAATGCTTTCAGAAATGACGCAGCAGAAAAAGGCTTCACAAATTTACCCATGAAAGGAATCGAACTCTGATCTTTGACATCATTTGAACAATTATGCTACCGTACAGACCCAGATATAACTGAAAAACTTAAAGGTGGCTTTAAACCAGCTCACCTTTTTTTTTTCTTTAACGCCGCACTCAGCAATATTCCAGCTTTATGGCGATGGTCTATAAGTAATCGAGTCTAGACCAGACAACCCAGTGATCAACGCCATAAACATCAATTTACGCAACTGGGATACGATGACAGGTGGCTTTAAACCCAACTCACAATTGTTTGTTCTTAAACGCTACACCTAGTGATCAACGTCATGAGCATCAATCTACGCAACTGGCATACGATGACATGTGACAACCAAGTCAGCGACCCTGACCACCCGATCCCGTTAGCCTCTTTTTACGACAAGCATGGGTTGCTGAAGACCAATTCCAATCTTCACGGGCGACTTTTGTCATTACTGTTGACGCTGTTGCTGGTGGAAATTAGTTGTAAAATTAAACTCACTCACTCTGGTATTGACAGCTTGTCTGTCTAAGTAAGTGTCCTCCAGTGACTCCGCAGTAATAAATAAAGAAATCACATCACGCCGAAGACCCGGGTTCACAGTGTGTGAAGCTCATGTCTGCTGGTGTCGCCCCGCCGTGATATTGCTGGAATATATGGAATATACTCTCTCTCTCTCTCTCTCTCTCTCTCTCTCTCTCTCTCTCTCTCTCTCTCTCTCTCTCTCTCTCTCTCTCTCTCTCTCTCTCTCTCTCTCTCTCTCTCTCTCTCTCTCTCTCTCTCTCTCTCTCTCTCTCTCTCTCTCTCTCTCTCTCTCTCTCTCTCTCTCTCTCTCTCTCTCTCTCTCTCTCTCTCTCTCTCTTCTCTCTCTCTCTCTCTCTCTCTCTCTCTCTCTCTCTCTCTCTCTCTCTCTCTCTCTCTCTCTCTCTCTCTCTCTCTCTCTCTCTCTCTCTCTCTCTCTCTCTCTCTCTCTCTCTCTCTCTCTCTCTCTCTCTCTCTCTCTCTCTCTCTCTCTCTCTCTCTCTCTCTCTCTCTCTCTCTCTCTCTCTCTCTCTCTCTTAACCTGCAAAGTCAACCTTATTGTATTCCTCTAATGGTAGGTGACTTTCACTGATTCCGCTGGCAGACTTGAGGTAGGCGTCGACACAGGGGGACCACGTCGAGAGTATCTACGTCTGCTCCTGGAGTCCATCGTCGCCGACAGCGGGGTGCTTCGCGGTCAGTACTCAGTATGATTTGGTTGGTTTGATGTTTAACGCAGCACTGAGCAGTATTTCAGCTATATTGCGGCGGCCTATAAACAATCCAACTATGGACCAGACAATCCGGTGATCAACATAGATCTACGCAATTCGGATACGATGACATGGTCCGCGAGTCTGACCACCCGACCTTGTTTGTCGCCTCTTACAACAAGGATGGGTTTCTGAAGACCAAGTCTAACTCGCATCTTTACGGGTGTCCTAAGTATGAATGACTTGCAGGTGGCCTTTGGTTGGAAGGTTTTGTCGTCATACGAAATGGGTATTACGGTTGAAATACCTGTCTCGTGACACTCAGCGTGTAAATGCCGTCATATCAAAGAAAGCGGCGTAAAACTACTCTCACTCGTTCTCATATATTTTGTATATTCTAACAGGCGACGAAAACCAAGGATTTCTGATTCGACCCAACATATCTGCCTATTTAAAGAGGCACTTCCGGGTCATAGGGGTCATGCTGGCCACCATAATTGCTCAAGGTGGACAACCTCCCGCCATATTTGCTCCTCCTGTCGTTGATGCTATACTGGATAAAGATGAGATGCCGTCTGTGGATTATGTGCCCGACACACGGAAGAGAGAATCTTTAAAAAAGGTATATAATTACATAAGTGTTTCCATTGTCTAATATTTCGATCGCTTTGGCATTCACGATGTCTATAAATACATAAAATACGCGAAACAGAATGTAATAATTTCATGCCAATAAAAAAGAAATGATGACAAATATAACACATAAAATGACTAGTATTTAGATCACCTAAGCCACATCCAACTACGGTTTCTTTAATAGAACAGGTCAACACTGACATGGAAAAGGTCAATACTAACATAGACCAAGTCAACACTAACACAGAACAGGTCAACACTGACATAGAACAGGTCAACACTGACATAGAACAGGTCAACACTGATATAGAACAAGTCAACACTAACATAGAACAGGGCAACACTGACATAGAACAGGTCAACATTAACATAGAACAGGTCAACACTGACATAGAACAGGTCAACACTGATATAGAACAAGTCAACACTAACATAGAACAGGGCAACACTGACATAGAACAGGTCAACACTAACATAGAACTGGTCAACACTAACACAGAACAGGTCAACACTAACATAGAACAGGTCAACACTTACACAGAACAAGTCAACACTAACATAGAACAAGTCAACACTTACACAGAACAGGTGAACACTAACATGGAACAGGTCAGCACTAACATAGAACAGGTCAACACTAACACAGAACAGGTCAACACTAACACAGAACAGGTCAACACTAACACAGGACAGGTCAACACTAACATGGAACAGGTCAATACTAACATAGAACTGGTCAACACTAACGCAGAACAGGTCAACACTAACACAGAACAGGTCAACACTAACATAGAACAGGTCAACATTAACATAGAACAGGTCAACACTAACACAGAACAGGTCAACACTAACATAGAACAGGTCAACACTAACACAGAACAGGTCAATACTAACATGGAACAGGCCAACACTAACACAAACCAGGTCAACACTAACACAGAACAGGTCAACACTTACATAGAACAAGTCAACACTAACACAGACCAGGTCAACACTAACACAGAACAGGTCAACACTAACATAGAACAGGTCAACACTAATATAGAACATGTCAACACTAACATAGAACAGGTCAACACTAACACAGACCAGGTCAACACTTACACAGAACAGGTCAACACTAACACAGAACAGGTCAACACTAACATAGAACAGGTCAACACTAACATAGAACAGGTCAACACTAACATAGAACAGGTCAACACTAACACAGAGTATATTAGATATACATATTTATATACATAAACATATTTTGTAACAGCTGTATTGTTCAGGTCATCCAGCATGTCCAACCAACAACTTTAAACATAATCGAGGCAGCTTATATTCCTTTAATTTTTTCTGGAACAATTTGATTAACAAATTAATTCTTAAACGCCTCAAGGACAAGTCCAGTAATAGTACTACGAGTATTGTATGCTTGTGTTTGTCGGGACGGTGGGGTAGCCTAACGGTTAAAGCTTTTGCTCGTCACGCCGAAGACCCGGGTTCCATGCCCCACATGGGTACAATGTATGAAGCCCATTTATGATGCCCCCGCCGTGATAATGCTGAAATATTGCTAAAAGCAGCGTAAAACTAAACTCATTCTTGTGTTTGTCCCAGGTGTCGGAAGCTCGCGACACGACTGAGCTACAGGAGGCTCTAGATGAGTTTGACTGGAGATTCGACCTGGACGGTATCCCCTCTTATGTTACCATGGCCAGTAGAGATGAGTTCCTCAGAGGATGTGTCCAGTATTTTGTCATACTGCAGAGCAAGCCAATGCTTGACCAGCTGATTCAAGGCTTGCGTCACTGCGGGGTGAGTATCTCTTACTTCAGAGGCATCAGAGTTTCAGAAAAGATTACATCACCCACAAGAGTACATGACCCGACCAAATACTGCAAGTTAAGAGGCAGTAACTGGGTGGACCTCAGGTGATTGTAAGCAAACATGTGGTATTGTCATTCGTGACCAGCTCATGTTATTCCGGACAAGCCTTCTTGTTGGTCACGGGCAGAGGCGAGTAGTTACGATTGGTGGTATTGTCAATGGGACTATTTTCCCCGGAAGTTCTAATGCGGTGCGCGTAATTCCATGCACAAAGTAGTGCAAAAGTGTTTCATCTTCCGAATGGGTCGTCATTGGGTAGACGGAGTTGTTTATGCCAGTTACTCCGAACAATAGGGCTCGATTCCCACATTGGCACACCATTTGTTCCAGAGCCTTAGAGTGATATAGCTTGCTCTCGAAGTGCTCCCACTCGAAGTGATCAAACATCATGGTAGATCTAGATTTTATTTTCTGTTTCTAATATTGTCAGATTCTGGATCTCATCAGAACACACACGTTACGAGATTTGCTTGAGTATAAATCGGACGTTGAGGTCACGGCCGAAAGGGTTATGGATCTGTTGAGACCAGATGAGCCTTGCCATAGCGACGAACAACAGATCCTTGACAACCTAAGCAGATTCCTGCAGGCAGCTGAAGGTAAGATTATAGAAGTCATAGACGGGTGCCAGAGAACCAATGCTTGGTTTACCTCTTGGCACAAACTGGTGAATCCTATACTATTATGACAAATGAAATAGTTGTAATTCACTAACTCGTCCTTGGTTAGGTGCGGGGCGGTGGAGTAGCCTGATGGTAAAGCGTCCTATGGCCACCTTGGTCCGATTCCCCACATGGGTAAAATGTGTGAAACCCATTGTTGGAATATTGCCGTAAAACCATACTCACTCACTCGTTTGGTGCCTATTTCAGATGTCCTTTGCCTTAGATCAGCGATGTTATATGGATCAAAATATTTAAGCATGCAAACCATATCTCATTTGTACGAATATATCTTGGATATCAGAAATCAAGACTATTCACGACTTCTGATATATATAATGGTTATAATAATTGTCTTCATCAGCCTCTTTGAAATGTGTGAATGCAAAATCTGAGACACTCCAGCAAGTCTGAAAATACACAAAGTTTATTTCCCTAATGTATAGATGTAACCATCATGAAGAACATTAATGAAATCAGCTTTCAAAGGGGCTTCTATTTAAATTGTTAACAAAATACAGGATAACATCAACTCTCAGTAGGATTAATGACCAAGCTGATAGATTTGGACAATTTCGTGAGTTCATACATTTCACAGCTACTGTTTCTTTTACGGGAATTATTAACTCACATCGCTTGATTGATATTTAACGCCTCACTCAGCTATACCAGCTATATGATGGCGGTCTGTAAATAATCAAGTCTGGACCCGACAATCCAGTGATCAACACCATGAGCATAAAATATACACAATCGGGATACCATGACATGTGTCACATCGTTCATCTTCCAAAGGCTAATTCTAAACGATTACTTCATACTGAAAACGAAAACTATGAGACAATGCAAACATAATGTCGTCAGCTTCTCAGAAAGGTGAATCATTTAAATAACGAAATACGGAATATTTTATCGAGAGTCCCAGTGTTTGAGAAGTTCAAGGTACAGTGCTGCATCTCTTTATTGCGGTACATTTCAGCAAAAATATCTCGGTAGTTATGCGGAATTATGCTTGAATTTGCGGAAATATTTAAGTGGTAACTCTGCGGAATAATATAAGTTGTAAGTTATCGAAAATATTAAATGGGGTAAGTTTAAATTATGAATGTAAAAGGTTTGTAGAATTATAAAAGCTGAAAGTTTGCGGAAATATCAATTGATAAGATAGAGGAATTAAAAAAAGCAGAAATATTGAATGGATAAGTTTGATGAATTGTAAATGCGATAAGCGGAATTGTTAAACTTAAGTATGCGGAATTAGGAAATAGGTAGGTGTGTGGAATTAGGAAATAGATAAGTTTGCAGAATTAAGAAATAGGTAGGTGTGCGGAATTGGGAATATGGTGAGTGCGGAATTAGGAAATTGGTAACTTTTAGTGTGATTCTGTCCAATCCGAACATTGTGACAATGCAGGTGTTGTCTAATTAACTGACGAAATTTACATATTGTGTTCATCTTCCAGATGGCAGCTTGTGTGATGTGCTCAGGGAGAGCCAGCGTTTGACCCGAAGTCAGACCAAGTTTGCGCGGAGATTAACTCCAGGGAGACTGCTAGCGTTTGTTACTGGATGTAGTAGGGAACCAGCTGGCGGGTTCGTGCCGAAACCCAGCATTGTCTTTAACAGAGCCGCCTGGCGGCTGCCATCGGCCGCTACATGCAGTAACCAGATCCTGATCACGGTGCACCAGAACTCGCTGGAGTTCCATTGCTTTTGTCAAGCGATGATGACGTCAATGATGAACGGAGAAAACTTTACAACCGCCTAGGTTTCTTGTTATCGTCTTTAGTTTTCTCATGGAAAACTGATTTAAAAGATTTGTTGTGATAGATATTGCACAAATAGAGATTCCTATACAACTGACTCTCACATACGGTTTACCACCGCCTAGGTTTCTTGTTATCGTCTTTAGTTTTCTCATGGAAAACTGATTTAAAAGATTTGTTGTGGTAGATATTGCACAAATAGAGATTCCTATACAACTGACTCTCACATACGGTTTACCACCGCCTAGGTTTCTTGTTATCGTCTTTAGTTTTCTCATGGAAAACTGATTTAAAAGATTTGTTGTGGTAGATATTGCACAAATAGAGATTCCTATACAACTGACTCTCACATACGGTTTATCATTCGAGTTGTTTCAAAACGCGAACAGCGTGTTGTGAGATAAATCGTATCTTGAAGGCATGAAGTATTACGTATCTCGTACACCCTTAACTCAAATGGACATATATGTTGTCTTTTCTTATTATTACAGTGGGACGTGCATACGTGGCACAACGTTCATTTCACTATCCTGCTTCTATGGTTGTATGCCTCCGCGTGTTGTCGATAGGGTCACTTTGTTGTATAAAAGTGGCTTGTCACTCGCCTCACTGTCACAGTTGTAGTAGCCAGTTTGGATACGGGCGTAATCCGTCGTAATTTGACCTTTGGTCTTCACCATAGAGTAGCCAATCACAGACGGGGATCCCATCTCATACATATGTCTGATGCAAGTCATATTTCATAGGTTCTTCTCTCACACAGTTAGAGAGCTTTTTCTACTTTGTATACTATTAGCCTCACTGTGTACATCACTATCCCTACATTGTACACGACTATCACTTCTTTGTACACCACTATCCCTTCTTTGTACACCACTATCCCTTCTTTGTACACCACTATCCCTTCTTTGTACACCACTATCCCTTCTTTGTACACCACTATCCTTTCTTTGTACACCACTATCCCTTCTTTGTACACCACTATCCCTTCTTGGTACACCATTATCCCTACATTGTACACCACTATCCCTTCTTGGTACACCACTATCCCTTCTTGGTACACCACTATCCCTACATTGTACACCACTATCCCTTCTTGGTACACCACTATCCCTTCTTTGTACACTAGTTTTGGGATAAGCTACTTTTGAAGGAACTAAACTTTGACACAAAAGTTGCTCCCAAGCTAACGTGTTTCTGTATGCTGATGAATATGTACCTTCCTTCACCTTCCTTAGGTGTCTGTGTTTGAAGCCATGTGTTCTTTCTACGAAGATTTCCATTCAAAAAGTGTTTTGTGGTTCTTGCTCAGATATCGGAAACGTTCAGTGGACTCTGCTTTTAACAGAAACGCCTCCCTGTGATAGAAACAGATTGATCGATTCTTAACATTTAAGCTTCAATATTGTATATTGACATCTCATTATTTCTTGGACTGCAATCTCAACATGTTTTTGTTTATTTGATAACGATACCCATTAATTCGTTTACATTTTTATCAAATTTTACCAGTAGCAATGCAACATTTACTCATCTTAGGGCTAATGGAGTTTTATGCACACGGCCTGTTGTACGGCGACCGCCGAAAACATTGTCACCAAAGAGTGAAACTTAACATAACTGTCCAACCAATTTCAGAGGTTCGATTCCTATTGTCTTAATATCCATTTTGATCAAAAGCTATTTAAGGCCATTATTGAACCATTGCCTTTTTTATAATGTAATGAAATTGGGTATTCGTCTCGCTGAATCGTGCCATCACCTTAGGCAGAGACTTATGATCAGGAATTGTTTAATCTTTTTATGACTATGTTGAATGTTTATATCTTTGTTTTTAATATTTTTACCTTGTTTTGACAGTTATTCAATACTCAAACTGAATGTAGATACTGTATACATCTTATCTCCTGAAACTGCCAGAGAGAGGGAGCTGAAGTATATATCCTTGCTTCTCATTCTGATGATATATTTTGTTCTGATGATTAGATTTTTGTCCCGTGAGACCGGCAACAACTTTTGTTATGCTATCCTTGATGTTATGATGTTATGATATTTTTCACTGCTAACTGTCCAAATGAGACACTGTGGCACTGTTGTTTTGTTAGTATACAAGTGTGATTAAAACCTTTATTGATCTTATTTGAATTTGTTCTTTGTGTGATTTTGGCATCATTTTTCTCTAAACAAATTCAGAAATGATATATTTTCTCACATCTTTAAATATGGAAAATGAATGAGTGAGTACGGTTGTACGCTGCTTTTAGCAATATTCCATAAATATGACGCCTGTAAAGAGAAAATAATTGCCTTAAAAAGTTGACATTTTCAGTCGACCTAGACTTCAGTGGTTAAAAGATGACATTAAATACACTGTCCTGTTTTTAACTTTCAATACTTATGATTTTTTCATGTCAGTTACATTCCTTCACATCTGACTATCGAACAAAACCAATAACCATGATCCATAACCAATAACCATGATCCAAACCAATAACCATGATCCAAAACCAATAACCTAAACCAATAACCATGATCCAAAACCAATAACCATGATCCAAAACCAATAACCATGATCCAAAACCAATAGCCATGATCCATAACCAATAACCATGATCCATAACCAATAACCATGATCCAAAACCAATAACCATGATCCAAAACCAATAACCATGATCCAAAACCAATAACCATGATCCAAAACCAATAACCATGACATGATCCAAAACCAATAACCATGATCCAAAACCAATAACCATGATCCAAAACCAATAACCAAAACCAATAACCATGATCCAAAACCAATAACCATGACGTGATCCAAAACCAATAACCATGATCCAAAACCAATAACCATGATTCAAAACCAATAACCATGATAAATAAAATGAAAATAGAAGATTGCAGAAATAATAATTGGTATACTTTCTTTCAAAAGTTATTTGAACAGTAGCAGCAAAAAATTATGGAAAACTGATCCTTAACAAGGACTTATTCATCCTATCTTCATCTTTCAAGATTCCGGGTTAGAAAGATTCCCAGAAATGATGCTGGACGTAAGATACGATTTAATGGGACGGTCAATCAAGGTTAATAATGGGTCTTCGTACTGAAGGGACGGTGATGTGAAATTGGGTTTAACGTCGTGCTGGAGAAAATTTCACTCATATGACGACGTGCAAGCGTGTGTATGTGTATGTGCGGCTGCTTGTACTAGCCAAGACTGAAGCTGGTTTTATAGTGCTAGCCCACTGAGATACCATGCCGCAGTGAAGCATGAATACCCTACTGAGACACATTATACTGACTCCAAGCCGACCAGTCCTTGTTGTACCCATTAATGCCGAGCGTCAGGCAGGGACCAACAAGTACCATATGTTAACGTCTTTTTGTAGGACGCGGCCTGGGATCGAACCCGCGACCTTCCGCTCTCCGGGAAGACGCTCTAACCACTACACCACTGAGGCGGTTCGTACTGAAGGGACGGTAGGTATTCAGACATCGAGGACTATCGTGGCGGTTTGCATTGAATGTGAGTTTGAAATGAGACAACTTAACTTACTCTATAACAACCAATAATGAGTAACTATTAATTAAATCAATATGTAGATGATACTGAAGTATTTCTTGGTGGGAGTAAACAAAGCTTAAAGGCTGCTATTGATGAAATAAATACTTTTTATAAAATGTTAGGGCTTAAAATTAACATTGATAAGTCAAAAGCAATATGGATTGTCTCAAAGAGAAATAGTACTGATTTATCATGTAAAGACATTAAAATAGAATGGCAAAATACTGTGTTTGAAGTCTTGGGAATTATATTCCACACAGATCTTAACAATTTGTGAGTAATCAATACAAAAAAAGACTAGAGGAATTAAACAGACTGCTTGCACAATGGAGGAAAATACATTTGACTCAGGTAAAATAACTGTAATGAAAACTTAGGCTCTGTAAAACTTGTTCATATATTCAATACTATGCTTAATCTTCCAAAGGATTTCATTACTTTATAGCAAAATATCTTCTTCAAATTCATATGGAATGACAAACCTGATAAAATCAAAAGGAACAATTTTAAAAGGATATACAGAGATAGTGGATTAAGGATTGTTGACACGGAAACTTTGTGTGAAGCATTGAAACTTGCCAATCTGAGATCATATTGTAGAAAAACAACAATTAAAAATCCCTGTAATATTACTTTTGATGTCATTTTAAAATCTGGTACAGATGTTGATCAAGTGATACATATTGATAACACTGATTGGAAGGATGTTTTGAAAGTATATTAATTTTAATTATTAATATATATACAAATATTGTAAAAAAAGTAATGTGAATTCTGGAGATAATTATGAATCCAAGCCCAATCACTATGGTTTAACCATAATTGGATCTATGTGACAAAACTGTTTTCTTATCCTTTGACAAGTTGAAGGCAATTTGCGGTACTAAAGGCTTATTTGGACTATTTGCATGTTTTGAATATACTACCTGATACTTGGAAATATACCATTAGACACTCCAGAAAATATCCCAGTTTTTTGTTGTTTTGTTTTTGTTTTGTTTTGTTTTTATTTACTCATAACTGAATGTCATTTGAATTTACTGGAATCATGCAAAGGCTCTAGGTTTTTTTATAATACCTTGATTTCTAGTGAAGAGTTAGCTAAAGTGTGTCTTAAATGGCAAGCATCTTTTGCTAATGATACTTTGGATTGGAATGGGATTTTTATGACTTACAGATACTTCATTACCAAAACAAGTCAGTACTTTGTATGAGCTACATGATAGTATTTGTCATGTTCATTGGGAATGTAGAGAAACACAATCATTCTAGAATGAACTTGATGTTTGGATGAACAATCATATAGAAAACACAACTGAAATAACAAAATACATTGTTTGGTTTGGAACATAATAAATTGATTTATTATTGGGTCATGTCGTCATATCTGCCAAAACTATATCCATTTGAATAGGATTAAACAACATGCTCCAAAACTTCAAAGGT